AGCTCGAGGTCTCCAACAATCTCCGGGATAGTCTTCAGCTCCTCAGGCTTAGCATCAAGCGTCGACGTAGGAATGCTCGAGCCTCCTTAAGACCATGGAAATATGAGCCCATTGCGTAATTGCCCTTCAACTTGTTGAAGTCCTCGGACTTATGGAATTCCACGATAGCTTCAGCCCGAGCCTCGGCCAACCTGCCCTCGAGGCTTTTCTTCACCTGCTCGAGCTTCATCTTCAATTCTTCTGCCTCATCTTTCGCGAGGCCCAGTTCATCACGAGCCTTTCAAAGCTCGATCTTGGCCAAGTCACGCTCAGCCTCGAGGTCAGCTACTCTCTTGTCTCGGGCTTCCACTGCCTCTTGGAGCAAGCCACCTCGAGTTATACTCAAAGCCTGCAAAACATTCATCATGAGCTATGACCTTGATATAAAAAGACTAAATTTTATATACATAATCATCATAGTTCACCTGGAATGTAAGAGACTCGAGGTCCTTGCCGACCTCTTCATACCCGAGCTTTTGTCGGTATTTGTCTACAAGGCCCGACATCAAATATGATTGTCCAGCATTCTCGACGTTCTCAGTACTCGGGGACACGTTATCCTTGTCGAGATCAACGACTGTGTGCTCTCGGGGAGAAGGAAGAGCTCGAGAAGGAATAGCTCGAGGAGTGTTATCTCCAGGAGACGTGCTTCTGTGCCTCGAGGACTCTCTTGCCCCCACTTCTTTTTTGTTCTGGCCCAGATGCTCGAGGCCTCTTCTTCCCCCTTCTCTGCCTCGGAGTTCGAATTTGAGGGGCCCTCGACTTGGACTGCACGGACTGTCGCAAAGCAGTTGGATCAAAAGTCATTTATGCAAACATCGACGATATATTAAACACGAGCATATAAATAAGCAAAGAATTAAGAAGAAAGGTACAAGTCCTATCCTCGACGCCTTTAATGTCTGCACGATCGAGAACGTCATCCTCGAGGATGTCGTCCATATCAAACACCAGAGGCTCGAGATTTTCTAACATTTGCCTGTCCCTCTCTAAACACTCAAAGTATGTTTGACCCTCACAAAACCTCGACGTATCTGGTAAACCCCATCGAGATTTGAATAGAAGGTCGATATCCTGAGGAATCACGTAGAACCATTTCTCCTTCCACCCTTTTAAGGAACTCGGCATCTTCGGGATTCTAAATCCTCCCCGGGTAGAAAGGTAGGCAAAACAAGTATACTGAGACAGCTGTTTAAGGTAGAAGACCATTCTACATAGATCGAGATATGGTGTAATGCCCAGGTATCTACAGGTGATGAAGAAATAGGCGAGCATCCTCCACCCATTCGGCACTAATTACCCCGGGCTCATATTATGCTCGACCAGTAAAGACATAAAAAACGGATGCAGGGGCCACCTAAACCCCCCTTTTAAAGAATCCCTGAAAATCACACACTCCCCATCCCGAGCTATAGCCATCCTATCCCCTACCCCGGGCATTCGAATGTCACAGCTCGGCATTAGACCATGTTCCCTAGCCGTCGATATGGCCAGGTGCTCCTTAAGGATGCAAGGTTGGTTGGGATATGTTAAAAGCGTCGAGTTATCTTCTGTTCGAGATTGTGCATAAATAAGGATGGCTACAGGAATTATTGACTTACCTAAACTCTCTGGGGTTGTCCTCGACCCAGAGGATGACGACGAGTCAGAATCACTAGACATCCTATGACCTTTTGTGTTCTTAAAAAATAAAGCTTAATTTCTCGATCTCTTACCTTAATATCGACAACCCAAAACCCACAAAATGTCCGAGCTCGAGGATTCCGAAAAATTCACAGAGAAGTAAAAAGGTAAGAAATGAAAAATGACTGGGGTATTTATAGACTCCAGTGGGAAACCCAAGTGTCGTCCACCTTGGACCGTTTGATCTGGACATGTGTCACTCATCGGGGCCACCAAAGTTAAACCGCCTTTCACTTTAGGGCTGATGACATCTCTATACTGGACCTCGGGTTTCTTCGCATGTGGACAATTTTCACAACTGTGCATCCCACACTCGAACTTCGAGCATGGATGCACGGAGGCCAATAATATGGTCCATCTATTTACCTCGACCTCAAATTTCCCGATTACTCCCAACTTGGTCCTCAAAATATATTCGTCGGGTATAATGGTCCTCGTGCTTATGGTAAACATCCCGAGGATATGGACCGCTCTCCTAATCGTACCATGAGGTCGGGCAGTAAAGTCCTCGGTATTTCAATGTCCTCATGCTTTTTACTTTAACGATACCACATCCTCCTACGAATAGTGACGTGTCACACTTGATACCCCACAAGACTTCTAGATGCAGGAGGAGTTTACTGTTGTTAGACTTGTACTGATCTCACACTTGTTTTGCATGTCAAACATCCACCTCCGATAGGACTCTATGAGATAAAGATTCCCCAATTGTTCCATCCTAATAGGACTCAATCACCTAACACTGTAAATACATGGTTTCACCTCATTATTCAGGTACTTTATGCAATTTTCAGTCCATAGCCACATGCGCATATTCTAACTTAAGCATCGAAGGGGCGACGAGGACACACCTCGACGCCTTTGTTTCAGGTACCGGAAGATCACGTTCGTGCTCGTCATCAGTCGTCCAGCTCGAAATTGCTAGGGTACGCTTTTTGGTAGCATCAACAATGTTTTAAAAGTTTGAAGATATGAGTAGTTGAAAAACATGTATCATGCTTTGAATTTGTTTTGCAAGTTTATATTGTTTGTTGAGTTCTCTCTCTGTTAAAGCCTTAAATGGATGAGAGTGAACATATTAATTTAATATTACTTATCTAAAATGGAATTCCCAGCCTTTTATCTTGGATGAAAGTGTAAATTTTGCGTCAGGCAGAAGGGACCCAAATGCGTACGTCTACTCGGTGGTAGCGGAGGTGTTATCTAATTGGGGAAAGATATGGAACCATGTGGACCCAATTTGGATAATTTTCGATTCAGATTCAACCATGACCAATGAACACCAACCTAATTTAACTGGGCTTATTACTAGTTTATGTTTGATAAATTTTTTTATCAAACCTAGACTATTCTGCATGCATTTGGATTTTCATCACTAAAAATGGACGTGACATTGCCATTAGATCCACTGCGATGCTCCTCAGTAATGTATGTGTAGTGGTCTACAGGTCTGCCATAATATCGTGCATATGTAGGAGGCGACGGCCTGTTGATATATGTCACATAGGGCGACGGATTGTAGGCATTGTAACTGTGATGAGTCACGTATGTTGGTTGATAAGTGTATTTTCTACACTTATTCGGTGCTCTAAACTAAATAATTTTATTGTTCTTTTGGCAAAATATGATCTAAATTTTATTGTATTAATTTTCTTAGGTAAAGCTCGTGCTTGGACGAAGAAGGAAAGGAAAGAAGCAAAAATTGGCGAAAAGTGAATTGGGCGCTTGTGGGCCATTTTAATTATCGGGGGTCATTTTAAATGCTTCTCCAAACTTCAGGGACCAAAGCTGAAAATTTCCTAGGTTTTACTATTAAAAACCATGCAGATTAGTTTTCATAAAAGAGGGAGAAAAAAAGAAAACCTAGAGAGCGGAGGGAATTAAAAAAACTCCGACAGGAGAGTCAGAGAAGCTGCGGCTGCTGGAGGAGATTGTGGGGGCTGATTTATATATATTTTACACACCAATTAGAGGGGAAGAAAGGTGAGATATATACACAAGAAGTCGCTGGCCAGAATTCACAAAAAAAAAAAAGGCTGCTTGGGGGGAGAAAAAAAGGGCTGCTGCTGACTAATATACATACAAACCTACAGCAAGAAGAGAAATTGGCTGCTGGGATATATACATAAACTTGGGCAGCGGCTGATACATATATATTTTGATATACATAAAGTTGGAAGCTGATCCTGTGACTCGAGAAATCAAAATACACGTGCAAAAGTCAAGCAAATTCGTGGAGTCAATCATGTCCTGTCGAGTTTTGGTGATTTCCTTCCACTTTTCTTTGTTTAATTCCAACAGTATGCTAGGCTAATTTTTCTCCTGTATTGGATGGATGACAAAGTTGTTTAATTTTTAGTTCTAATTTGAGACACGTGTTTTTATTTTAAATATCGTGTTGTGATTCCATTAATATGCTTATTTATATTGTTCTAATATTAGCGCACCATTAGGATAATAAGTTGCTTATTCGTAGTGTTGAAAAACTCACAATAGGTAGAACACTATTATTGGGACACACGCGCAATAAATATTAGGAATAATATTTGTGGCGTGTGCGATTTTATATGATAATCCTAAATGTCAATGCATGTTTACCATATGAATTCGAACTAGGAATAGGATCGTCTCGTGGTAAACATAGGTTTATTATATCTTGGAAAAGAATAATATAATTGTGGAATTATCGATCGTCGCAATTGCATAAATTGTGAGATAATTAACACTAGTTGAGATTTAGAACTAAGTTTTACTCTGGCGTCTGAAATCCAAGAACTAAGCGTTACTCAATGGCGTCTGAAATCCAATACATTCTCATATTCGAGTTTTAAATCAACCTCCATTACTTTTATAAATTTTAGTTTTAAAAATCCGTTAACTATTCATTCGATAGTTTTAGTCACAAACACGAATTCAAATTTATCAAATATCCTAGAATTAATCCTTATTCCCTGTGGGACGATACTTTACTCATCACAATTATTACTTGTCAACGAACCCGTACGCTTGCGGGAATTCACTCGAACAAGTTTTTGACGCCGTTGCCGGGGAATAACGGTGTTAATTTTAGTTATTAGATATTTTAGATTCGTTTTTATTTTTACTTTTATTGTTTTTATTTTCATTTAATTTTTTTTAGTTGTTTTTAGGCTACCATTACACTTTTTAGGCAACTTTAGTTTATGCAAAATCCTGTCGAGCCAGATCTCTTTCCAATAGACCACGAAATCGAAAGAACATTTAGAAATCGTAGAAGAGTTCAACGTCAAGTAAGGAGAATGGCTGACAACCAAAACCAACCACAGCATCAGGTTCAGCTTCACGAGCAAACACCACAGCCAAATCAACCGAGAGCTAACCAGAACAAAGCTCATGTCTTAGTTGGGGATTACATCAATCCAATTCCTGCACCAGTGCAACCTGCTGTGGTATACCCCCCTTTTGGACAACCTAATTTCCACCTTCGACCAGATGTCATCAATTTGTTTCAAAATCACCAAGACATCAGGTTCTTTGGAAAAGCCACAGAAAATCCTCATGAGCATATTTCTGCTTTTCTCATGTTATGCGAAGTGATCAGTCACGAAGGGATATCAGCAGATGCATTTCGAATGAGATTATTCCCTCACACCTTGAAGGACACTGCTAGAGAATGGTTTCTTTGTTTACCACCAGGGAGCATTCAATCATGGAACGATATGGTTCAAAAATTCACGATGAAATTCTTTCCACCTGCTCGAGTTCACCAAATTAGGAACGACGTCCACACCTTTAAGCAAAAAGATCTCGAGAGCTATCCTGAGGCATGGGAGAGGTTCAAGAATTTATTTAGAAAATGCCCCAACATCGACATTCCCAAGCAGGCTCAGCAATATCTTTTCTACTACGGTCTAAAACAAGAGTTTAGAAATATGATAGATGCTTCAGCAGGAGGATCAGTGATGAAACTTGATGTGGATGAGGCATATGACCTGTATGAAAAAATAGCTGAAAACCAATCAATGTGGCCAACTGATAGGGAAGCTCCAAGGAAAACATTAGGGTTACACAACGTAGATGCGGTGACAACTTTGGCCGCGCAAATGGAAGTTCTTACCATGAAAATTGACAATCTATCTAAGTCAGTCAACATGGTACACCAATCGCCACCTGTTTGCGAAGGCTGTGGAGCGGATCATGCTAGTACACGCTGCCCTTTGGCGTCTACACATGTTAATCAATCCGAAGAAGTAAGTTACGCACAGAACTTTCAGAGACAGCAACATAATCCTTTCTCCAGCACATTTAATCCCGGTTGGAAGGACCATCCAAATTTTTCATGGTCCAATAATCAAGGACAAGAACAGGGAGGAAGCAATCAGAATAAACCACCAGGGTTCCAACAGCAGCAACAGCAAGGGAGAAGGCCATCGTTGGAAGATTTGCTGGCTCAATACATTACTAAAACT